CAGAACCCGTTTGGCGGGCCCGGTAGCGCAGATGCCACCAGCGACCCAAGTCCGCTGGACGCAATCCGCGAACAGACAAGCAAGATTGAGGATTGGTTGGACACTTTGGCCGATCCAGTGAAGCCGTATGTTCCCTGTCCCAGTGTTACTTTGTTTCGGTCTTCCTTTTCTTCCCGTGTTGTGGTCCGAGTCGCGAGAGAGCTCAAAACAAGGGATTTCAGCCGTGCGCTAACACCCTGTTCTTTCACTCTCCAGCTACCTCCCCGCCGTCGGCCGATTCCTGATCGTAGTGACCTTCATCGAAGACTCGCTGCGCATCCTCACACAATGGAGCGATCAGCTCCTCTACCTTCGTGATTTCCGGAAGAGTAAGATAATATCCTTGCTCCCCGGACCCTGATCCACGCGACCTAGGGTCGAGGGTCCCACACTACCTCTGTATCGTTGTCTAACGCACTTTTCTTGTGCTGGCTTTAGTTCCGTGGGGAATCACGCACACATTCCTTATCGTTAATGTCATCGCTATGGCGGTTTGTTCGACTCTAGTCATCGCCCGCAAACGCACCGAATTCGCCGTCGCGGGACTGCTTGGCGTTGTTATCACACAAGGTCTTGGATATGGTCTCATTTTCGACTTGAACTTCTTCCTTCGCAATCTGAGTGTTGTTGGCGGTCTGCTTATGGTCCTGTCTGATTCCTGGGTGCGCAAGAAGTTCGTCCCGGCCGGTCTGCCCCAGCTCGATGAGAAGGACCGCAAGATGTATGTCCAGTTCGCTGGTCGTGTTTTGCTGATCTTCCTCTTCGTTGGGTTCGTCTTCTCCGGCGAGTGGAGCTTCTGGCGCATTCTGGTCAGCTTGTTCGGTCTTGTCGCTTGCGTCATGGTAATTGTTGGCTTCAAGGCTAAGTGGAGCGCCATCATTCTTGTGGTTCTGCTGAGTCTGTTCAACGTGTTTGTGAACAACTTCTGGACGGTATGTTTCTTTGGCAATTGATTGTGTCTTTGGTTACTGATGATTTCGTCTAGCTGCATGCCCACCACCCTCAAAAGGACTTCGCCAAGTACGACTTCTTCCAAATCTTGTCGATTGTGTATGTTCTCTCTCCCCAATAGTGAGACATTTTCATTCTCACGCTAATAACTTCTACAGTGGCGGTTTGGTCCTACTCGTCAACATGGGCCCCGGCCAATTGAGCATGGACGAGAAGAAGAAGGTCTACTAGAGCAGAAGGGAATCGAAGTGCGATTTTCCTTCTCTCTATATATCTCCCGGCATCTGCATCCACCTAGCAAACACAAAGAAGATGAATAGAAATTAGCAACGGGGCGGTCTGGCTGGTGCTCCGCGGGCTCCGAGCATTTCGATACGGGCCCCCCTCAGACCTTGGCGGCTATGCGTGGCCGGGTTGGGCGTTGTTTGCATTCGGGGATAAGTTTGAAATGCCTGAGGAGATCCAACGATCTACTCTCTCTTGCGTCTTTATTTTTGAGCTGTTCTATCTCGAACCTTTGTGTCCGGTCTCTTGTTTCATTGAGATTAAAAACGCATGTCCTCTGCATACGACGTTTTTGATGTGCATTTGAATTGCATCTATCACGAAGACAAGTTGAATCGAAAATCTAACGCTGAATGCGACGCATGTCTGCATGATTCTTTGCCTCCGACGTGCAATAATAATAGTAAGCTACAATAGCTATGTCTAATAAGACATTGCACCTAGAAGTACTTGGCCTAGCTCGCAAGCTACCCCTCTATATATCCTTTTGGCCATTCTTCCAAGGTTAAACCCCCTACACCTTATGTTAGATATTACTTTCCAGCAGTATATCCTGGACCCTTTTATGTCCTGCTGAATAGCAGATCTATGATCTATTAGAGATATGTTGTGCATGTCGATCTTTATGGCGTAGACAATAGGTATTCAATTACACTGACATCACGTCGCAGATCTAGATTAAGGCCCACTGAATTGGAAGAAGCATTGAACTTCATTTCCATCTGACAGTATTCATCTAGACTGATTCAATGTCTAAAAGGAGAAAACATTCATTGCTGGCCGAACGCTATGTACTGGTAACCCAAACAGAGGGAGGGAGTGATTATGGTACAAGGAAGAGATAATATTTAGGAATGAGGAAAAGCAGAAGAATAGAAAAGAAAAGGTCTGGAGGCCACAAAGTGCTGAAACAATCAAGAGACAAGGAAAAGAAATGTGAAATGATAGGAAGGAGTGCTGTCGCGATGAACTCGCCCGTGCTCTTGTCGTTGGGCTGAATCAACGGAGGAACTTTTGCGGGCGATATAAGGCATTCCGCTTCTATACTGGACCAGCCAGGTACATGCCTATGTCGGATCACAGGTCCCGACAGCAAGAGGATGGGTGTTTGCTTCGAGGGATCAGGTCGAGGGGAAATAAAAGACAAAAAAGCAAATGCTAGCTGGTCTTAATGCTTCAAACGCCGGATAGAATGGAAGAGGGATAGAATGGAAGAGAGATAGAGGAATTTCGAGGATGAGTGTTGTAGACTTTGTTCGAAAGGCTTTTAGATGTCCATGCTCCAACGCCATGGGCGGATGGGCTGCAACTGACCCAGGCCAATATCATCACGGTGGTCTTCGTTGATCTCTAGGTGTAGCATGTGGACCTTTTTGTTGTCCCGGTGCATTGTGGAGAGAGTCTTGGAGATATGTGGACGATAGAACTTGTCAGTGTCTTCTGTGGCTTTCGATTGAGGGCGGGATGCTGGAGTGTCAGGGTATTTCCATTCAAGGCTCGGAGAGTCATCCGAGTTGGTGGTGGAAAATGTAGAGTTGGTTCGAGAGTGTAATTCTGGGTCTGGACCATCATCGGAGTCGATACGCAGTCGAGTCAGCGATGGCCGACGAGGTCGATGGTTCTGAGTGGTGTCATCGACAGCGCCGTCACCAGTCTCGTCGATTCTTTCCGTCTCGTTCTCCCTGACCACATTCTTAGGAGCCGGGGATATGGTATCAAGCCCACGGGCACTACCACGAACCGGCGAGGTGACGTCCGCTTTACCGGCCATCACTCGAGCACTTGGTGGTGGCTGGAGCATCCATCTTGTCTCGGCACGGCTACACGGTCCACTAACAATGGGCGGGTGGAGGTCGTTCACAGGCGGCACGCGGGGGATGTAGTACTTGGAGGTTTCATTCGGGTCTGCGCGACCGCGTCCAGAGAATCCAATGGACGATCCGCGGACTTCCTGTTGTCCCCAAAGAGGCTCATCTTCCCGTTGGTAGCGCATCGACTTCCACTTCTCGCCGAGCGGATGCATCAGGCCACCAGTCTTGTCTTTCTTGAGTTGCGAGCTCTGGTCGGTATTCCAACTGTCCGTTCGTTGAACATTGCGGTGACCACCCCGACGGGGTGGGGGACCAGGGCCTAAGGAGATTTCCTCCCGCCAGCCTACATTGGTGCTGAAAGGGGTTGGCTGGGCGAATGGACGGGGCTGGTCGGTGATGATTTCGTTGTTGCGTCGCTCCTTCTCCTTCTCCCGCTGGGCCCGGGTAGCATCCTTTCTACGTTTCCGACGATCGAGATTTTCGGCGCAGGGGGTACAACTGGCATAGTAGAAGACTGCGGACTGGGCGCCCCGATAGAGCCACATGGCTGGCGCGGGGGGTTGAGTGGGGAATATCGGTTTATTGGGACTTTGTGGCTAAGAGTTGTAAACCGTCATTCACGACGGGCTATCAGCCCGGGAGAACTGTTGGAATTGACCCGGTATTCGCTCGTTGTGTTGTCGTGATACTATCGGACACATGAAGGGCTGAGCGGGATAGGGGGGGAAACTGCGGAAAGGGGCGGGATAGAAAGGTAAACGTAGGAATTGGAGATCGCCCAGCGATCTGTAAAGCCAAGAGAGGGTAAAAATTAATTGGGAGAGAAAGAAAGAAAAAGATGAAATGGCAATTAGGGGAGAGGGAGATCTGAGGGGGCGGTGGTTTCTGCCTGTTTCGCCTTTAGGCTTTTCGATAACTTTTACTGTTTGCAGCCTAAACTGGGTATACATATATGCAAAGGCAGGTATATGAACAACCTGACTGCTCCGTACGGAGTAGTACTTCTTTTAAATCTTTAATTCCCCTACATTGAGCACATCACATTGCCACAGTAGCCTCCTAACTTGCTGCGCCAAGTCCCCCGACAGGGGGGCTTGAGAGGCCAGGGTCCAGTACAAAATCGTACGGAGTACAGATCTGACTGACTACATACAACATATGTATGTCTGTAACATGACTGCCTAGTTCTCTATATCCTCTCTTGGTGGGATTCTTTCTTTCTACCTACGAAGGTACTCCGTACTCCGACTCCATAAACCGTTGAACCAGGTAGGCTTGGCATCTTCCCGCGTGGAGTCGGAAGGAATGTGGCTGCAAACAGTACGAAATTACTCCTTTGCAAAAAAGAGAATGTACAAAATTGGAATGGCAATTCACGCCCCTATTCGAATCATACTGCCGATGTAAATTCACATTCCTCTCTGGATCGAAGAACGTAGGGGTCCTCGACGTTTCATACTTGCGAGAGGCAAGTAGTAGAACCCGCCCCCTGTTGTAAATTCACTGTCTTTGTGCCCAGCATCGTCTGTGCTCTTGCCCCCGCAAAGTCATTCGAGGGGGCAAGAATGCCGAGTTGATGGCAAATCCCCATGTGCAGCCCCTCCTATATGCTTTGGTCATTGCATCATTGAACATCAAATGTCAAGAGAGCAAATCACAGCTCGCGGGAAATTGTAGGTTCGCAGCGGAAGATAATCAAAACATGACAGATCGACATTCAACACCCAGCGTATCTGCGCATTGTTGTAGGGCCAAGGGCCAAGCCCGCAACGGCGAATTCAATAGTAAAGGGCCACGCAACGCTGGCAAACTCCAGGATTCATTGGCTTACTGAATCGTTGTATCGCATGCAAATGGTTTTCCCCAAAACGCCCGAAAAATGACAATGGAAAATAGCACTGTGCAAACCTCCGCTCATGCATTCTTCGTGTCTCGGATTACCTCTCCTTTCACCTTGGACCAGTCAATGTCTCCGTCCATTTTTTCGTCTATTTCACCGCACACCACGACATTGTCACCGCGGATCAGGTACAGCCCATGCTCAATTTCGGTAGAGGGCTCGTCGTCATCTGGGGTGCGGATGATGCGTTCAACGGTATTGGCGAGTACAAGATTGGTCGTCTGGTCGGTTGACAGAAGATCGCCGATGAGTGTGCGGCCGTCAACTGTGAGGATAAGAACTTTTTCTGTTTGGCCAAGGTTGGTCAGCATTGCTCTGTATAGGAGATGGGATGTGTAAAGCATTTCAGCTAACTGCAAGACTCACTATTGACGTAAAAGTGGAGAGACATGTTGGATGGGAGAGCGGCGGTTTAACAAGGTGCAAGAGTATGTCAATTTTGCGGTTGACCAGGTACAGGAGATGTACCGCTGAGTCCGGATCGAGCTATGTCTCGAGATTGGGGGTCGTCCTGTCCCTAAGCTTGGAGTAGCTCTCTTGTTTTACGTGCACAGAGAGGGTTCGTGGATCCTCGTTCAACTCAGAGTCCGTCACTTTGCGCAAAGTGTTCGCCGATGTAAAGAACCGAATTGGTAGCGGTTGGTCGTAGAACGGCAGTGTTGACTCGCTGGGAATCCTAAAGCTCGGCGAGAGAAAATCAAAGCTGTAGGAGCTCCGTTTAAAGTTCGAACCCAATTGAATATGAGGTGATGGCAATGGCGCGGAGCGGGTCTATGCTGTTTGTCGAATCTCAAGTGAAGATTGCGAGAACCCTCGTCGATGATAACAATAAAGTTCTGGAAAGACGCGAGCCGGTGATCTCGACTTATAACGAAGGGATTGGTGGCAGCGCGTGTCTTGGTGCTTCATGGTCGTTTTCCACGATAATCGAGTGACATCCCCGATTGGATCACGTGCGGAAGCTTATGGGAGGTGGATACCACATCATTATATACTATTTAATGAAAGGAAACCAACGGGTTCTATAGGTCGCAAAAAGATGCGTTCTGTTATACAAACTTGGAACTTGCCTAAAGTGACAATGAGCTACATAAATGACTCTAGTGTAGAAAGGATTTATGTAGCAATTCACTATGTGTGCACGATATCGCCCGCAATTTCCCATGCACTCCAATCAGCCTCGCAATGCACTCAGATCCAAAGGAACACTGCTGCCCCTTCCAGCGCGATACCGGCGGTCTCCACCGATAAATTGCCGCGGTTTGGGGAGCAGCCCCTCGCTTTGGAATTTGAAACGCGGGTCTTCTATTTGGACTGGGCCATGTCCATGTGTTGAAGGACTTCGTGAGCTTGGTGCAGGTGATCCACCATTGGAAAGTGTATAAGCACTAGGGTCCAGCGCTGCAAAGGGTTCATGGGAGACAGGGCGAGAGGAAACAGGGGATGGTCGGGATGGTGGCTCGCTTGACGGAGCGGCAGGAAGTGAAGTTGGAGGAGGAGGTGGTGGTGGAGGAGCACCTGGGGCAGCTGATGGGGGTGGCGGGGGAGGTGCCGAAGGCGAAGAATGTCCTAGGGCGGAACGGGCAGCCTGCGCAGCAATTGAAGGCGGGGCTACTGATGGGGGAGGGGGTGGTGTCGATCTAGAAGCAGCCGGCGGGGGAGGAGGTGCCCGAGTCGCGGGGGCTGCCGGGGGAGGTGGTGGGGGTCCGGACGGTTTTCTCGACGTAGGCGGTGGTGGAAGCTTGCCCGGTGCTGGAGGGGGAGGAGGTGCGCGTGGAGGCGGCACTTCAGGGGCCTTTGTAGATGGCGCTGAAACTGTAGAGGAGGGTCGTGAAGCAGGTCTTGGGGGAGGCTTCTTCAAGCCGGCAACCAAAGGATTGACCGGTGGTGCAGGTGGTGAATCGGTCGATGATGGACGGGGAGGCGGCCTGGTCCCAGGAGGCCGGGGAGCTGTTGGAGGCTTGGGAGCTGGCGCAGCAGGTGGTCGAGGTGCACCTTCGGAATCAGAGATATATGGCGAGTCTCGACTGGCACCTGTATCGACACCTCCACGACTGCGTAACTTCGGCATCCCGCCAGCAAATATACCCCCTAATTGAGGCGGCATTGCACTGGGTGCACCATCTGCTCCAGACACTCCTTCGCTGTTACTTCGTAATCGATTCGCGGCTGGGCCGGATGGTACAGGCGGTGCAAGTCCGCTTGGAGGCGGCCTCGCACCCGGAACAGGTGGCGCACCCGCGACGGGAGGAGCTGCTGAGACGCCTCCTGAGCCTCCGATTTGAGGTGCCGATCGATCATTGGTAACAGCCTTCTTCAGCCTCGTGCCCTTATGGATGTCAGAAAGAAGTGCGCCCTATCTATAAGTTAGCTTCCGAGTTCCCTGGGCGAGAAACTGCTTGTAGCAGCGAAATTGAAGCACCACGTTTACCTACCCTGTCCTTAGCCTGTCCTTTAGAAGGTCTGCCTGGGAGGCCACCCGGAGGAGGCGGCGGGGGAGGACCGCCCAAACCTCCCGGCGGCGGCGGTGGCGGCGGGGGAGGAGGTGGCATGGCTAGGGATCAGATAATGGGATTATCGGTTAGACGGTTGCATATAATTCAGAAAATAATCAGGTCGGGAAGATGTGTTCCTTGAATAGAAGGAACATGAGTTGTTAGGCAGAGAAGTAAGAAGACGTCAGGGTGCGAGTACGGGGAAGTGGACAGCGTTGGGGCGAAGTCTCCGCCTGGACTCTCCCATCGAAAAAAAATACAGCTGCCTCACAACGTCGCTCATCACCACAGCCATGAAAAGAGTTGCTCTAACAGCCAATAAAGGCTCCCGGGCACAGGGCCCGATCTGTCAATTATGTCAATTCTCGACTTCAGCGCCCCGTCGTGGTCTCCCTATCGCGCGTCTACCCGCCGCGCGCGCCAGTCGAGCCAGAGCCTCCAGTCTCCGTGTACAGCCCTCGAAAAGAACCGATAGATTGGTATTAGGCTCTCCTCTGCTTATCTCCCGCCGATATGCTTCCGCTGCAACAACCAAGGCAAGCCCAGAGGCTACAATCAAAGAAATTGCGCGGGATGCATCTGCCGTGCACCAATCAAACGCTGCAGCCTCCAGCGAGGTGGTAGTAGAATTACTCCAAAGATGCCAGCGGGTCGCTCAGTCCCTTATCTCGCGAGAAAGGGATCAAAGCGAGGTGTCCCCAAAGGGCGAGGGCAACGCGATCTCTTCTTTACTGAACCTGGAGGAGAAGCAAACCGCGGCGAAGAACAAAGGCAAGACGCAGTCCTCACAACACTCAGATCCGCGATTGGCAGATGCAGTCTCGCAAATTGCCGTCAAACTTATGAAGGACGACAAGGTCTTCATTTCGCCTGAAGCTCTAGCCTCCTGCACCGAGACCCTAACTCTGCTACGACGGGCCGAACACTTCCCCGAGATCTTCCACCTTTATGCCTACAAGCCTGTCCCAGAGGAGGGCAGCTCTCCAGTGAAACTGCTGAAGGCCAATCCCAAGAGTGTCAACAGCGCCGTTCCGGCGGGGTTGGCTAACATGGCTCTTGGGGTCGCTATTGCACAGAAAAACCTCTCGCTCGTGCTAGCCATCATCGACAACACTTTCTGCGCCCCGGCCTTCCACCGCGCGAAGATTTTCAAGAAAGCCGGCGTCCCTCTAGCCGGCCTTGCTGCTGCCCCGGCCGCTTGCTATGCTCTCGCATCGTGGGCCGCGACATTCCAGAATACAATGGATCCCAACGTAGCGACTGGGATTGCGTTCGCCGCTACACTGGCTTATGTTGGCGGTACATCCTCCATGGGAATTTTGGCCATTACTACGGCTAACGATCAGATGGAGCGTGTGGTCTGGATTCCTGGTATCCCACTGCGGCAACGGTGGTTGCGCGAGGAAGAGCGCGCTGCTATGGATAGAGTCGCTGTCGCGTGGGGTTTCAAGGATCCTTATATGAGAGGTGAGGAGGTTGGCGAAGAGTGGGAAAGTCTTCGTGAGTTCATTGGCATGCGGGGCATGGTTCTGGATAAGACCGAATTGATGGAAGGCATGGAGTAACTTGACTCCCTCCATTTGTATCATAAATACATAGTTTCTTGTTTCACACGTAATGAGCGATGTAAAATACAAGTCTTAAAAGATTTACTACAACTACATTATACCAGAGATAAAACTACGATATGGAGATAGCAAATTGAGACCGATCATGAGCTTCATATGTATTTTTTTTCAGTCGTGAGACAATGACATAAACCCAGTTTTCAGGCCCAAACTAGACAACACCGGCGCAGTTAAGCGACAGATAATCTAGTAGACACGGTGGGGAGGAGACATGGAAGCCTTGATGACAAGACTGCCAACGTTCTGCCAGCCCTTCTTGAGGAGGGAGACAAGGTAGTTGATGGCGAGCATCAGGTTGGCAACAAGGGCCTCCTTCTCCATCTCGACGTTACCGATGGCAACACCGAGGCACAGAACCTTCTTGAGCTGGAACTTGATGGTGGACTTGACGTCGGTGACCTTGGCGGCCATGTCCTCAGCGTGGGAGACGGGGGTAGGGAACTTTCCGGCCTTGGACAGACCGGGACCGAGGAGACGGGGAATCTGCTTGATCAGACCCTCGGAAGCAAGGAAGGCATCGTACTTGCGAGCAAGCTTCTTGATGAGCTTCTTGTTCTTGTTGAGCTTCTTGAGATCGTCAACGGACATGGCATCGATGTTGTGGTGCTTAGCACGGTCAAGATCGTGCTGGTCACCAAGAATACTATAGATTTCGTCTGTTAGCTTCTGGGCTTATTTGACGGGTAGACGTCCTTCGCCGTAGCGCATCACGGACGTAAAAGTTTGCGCCGCGGGAGGGGGTTGCCGAGGGGAAACGCACCAGATGGCCATGTTGGGGCGGGGGACGGTAGGCAGCTTGATGGTGCCAGAGAAACGCTTGTCACGCTGGGGGTCGTAGTTCTTCAGACCGATCTGAAGCTCAACGGTCTCGTTGAAGTTACGCTTCTTCTCATTGAGAGAGTAGTTGAGAAGGTTCTCGACATTCTGGCGCACTCCGGCTGTAATGAGACAAGAGCAGTTAGTGGCAAGATCTTGTAGATATAGCATGAGGTGAAACGTACCGACTGTGATCTTGGACATGATGGCTACAGTCTTCCAAAAGAAGTTGAAATTCTTATGGTATGGCTCTGCGCTGAATGCTTGAGAAAAGAAATTGTCGAGGGCCGTGAATTTCTCCGCTTGTGGGTGTGAACTGGCGCTAGTCTGAATTAGGATTAGCGGTGCCCTAGATTTTTGCGTGCTGACTCATCCAATGGCGGCCCCACCTGCCTGGGCAGGCGAGGCATAGACATGAAACCTAATAATCTCGACAAGGGATATGCTGTATGACTTGCTATAAGACAGCATGTTGCCCAAATTCTTGCAAAGCAGCTACACTCGCTACAAAGATGACACCAACAGTTTTGCAACCTGGCTCCTTCAGGCAGCCGGCAAATGTGGCTACCAACCGCCCAGCCTCACTTCTACCGCGTCCACCTTAAACAAGGGCAAAAGCAAGAGCAAAAATAAGGCGGCGAATCACTCAGATCCAGTCCAGTACACCACGACTATCAAGGATCTTCAACTGTTGGCTGATGTTGTAGCCAAGTCTGCTCTCACTGTGCCTAAGCCAGTTCTCATCATCGCCAAACGAGCGATCAAATTGAGGAAACATGTCACTTCTTGGTTTTTGGGGCAAGGTGACTCCCAGAATAACAAGAGACACGCTCATTTTATCTCTGCGCTGGAAAAGGTTTGTGAGACCCTCGAATGGAGGATGAATAACTCTTCCAAGCCAGATAGCGAGAAACCTTCTCCAACCTCTGAGGCCGGAGGTGGCGATGCCGACCTCGACATGTTCCTCAATAAATTTGCTGTACTCACCGTCGAGGAACCGCAAGAGCCTCAACAAGAACAGCGGAAAACCCCCGAATCGAAGCAGGTTGTGAAGGTGGAGCTGGTTGAGAACGACGAGGATGAGGCAACGGATTCATATTTCGGCCTCATATTCTTCAAGACATACTGCTTGTTCCAGGATTTATACAACATGCGGGCATTTATCTCTCATACCTGGTCAGAATACCGAGACAAGAAAATCGATCTTATGAACGCTGCTGTCGTGACTGATAGTGCTTTGCAACTTGCACGGGATCTTGTGCAGGAGGTGGCGGACGACTGGAGCACTTCCATCCCCTCGCCTGTTGGTGACCTCCAGAAACTGGTCTTCAATATCGCCTGTATGACAAGGGGCATTGATGCGACCCCATCTGCTGAAATCGGTCTGCCATACAATAAATACATGTCCGATGTGGCCGAGTGGTGCTATTTGCCAACATCGATCTTACTGGAATCGTTCGCAGATGTTCTGCAGGATGATCATCTGCCGGTCTTCAAGAAAGGCTATTTCGGTACTTACGATGTCAAGGCGAACAGAGAGAGGATGCCTGTGGGTCAGAAATTCAACGAAGACAAAATCATTCTTCTTCAGCTGCTGCCAGAGTTCTGCTTGATTGATAAATCTGGTATTCGTATGCTTACACCCGATGCGATTACTACAGGCCTTCTTGAATTTTGCAAGACCAAAGAGGTTACTCCATGGCTTTGCTTCGCTTCCCAGGTCCTCCTTGACGTTCATCATATCATGCGTCACAGCACTTTAGGTGCATTTGAAGATCTTCGGATATCTGGACTGCGCATTCAAAAAACCATTGATGACTACTTGAAGGTTTCCAAATCACACCCGCAGCCCCAATTCTGGCCTAAGGAGGGTGATGACGAAATCAAAGCTATCCGCTTCGCAGTGGATTCATGGATTATGCAGGATCCCTTCTCAGAACTGAGACGTCTTTCGATGCCAGGCAATAATGCACCAGAAAACCATGTGCTTTTCTCCCAGCATGCCATCCTTTGTGGCCTGAGCTTGTTTCATCTCAACACCCGGATGCAGTCTGTTGGCCAACAGCTCGTGACTCAATGGTATGATGTCCAGCAACTGGCTTTCTTGTACAATCTTGCAAAGACCGAATCCCATAAGAACTTGAGTTGGCCTGATATGGAGACTTTCATTAAGATTCACGGCGAGTCTCATATATTCATTGGTTCTCGGCCAAAGAATGCTAGCGAGTCTTTGAATAGGCTTGAATTGGCCACAGGCATATCCTCCGCTGCCAGGTTTGCTCGCGATTCCCGCAACAGAGAAGATTTCCATCGCCCTGATGGGAAGAATCCCAGAGTATTGACGCCAACAACTACGATCGCGAACTTGTTCCGGGACCAGTATGTCCCTGGTTTTAGGCAGGATGGCGGCATTAGAAACATTGACAATGTTCTGGATACGCTTTCGCATGAACCGTCTCTCAAGGTGCCCAGCAAGGAGCTTCAGCCATCCAATCCGCAAGTCATGTTCCAACGGAAGTGGTCCAATACCCGCAACATCGGCACCCTGCAACTTCTCGCCCTTTTGAAGAGCAGGTTGTTCGACGAGGAGCCTGTACTGCTGTTCAACTACTTCGGCATGCACAAGCGCTCCCTAGAGCTGCTGAGGCTGATCAAAGCGAAAGAGCACCGCAAGTTTGTCCAATATTTCACGGCTGCGTATATGCCTGACGAATCTCTCATCTCAAACATTGTAATTTTGATCCATCACGTTGCGCGAGGCTCGGCACAAGGTGCGCGTGCAATGGGACTCTCCGTCAACACTGGCAGTCGAATTGTTATGAGCTGTGGCGATGTCATGCAGGAGTATCTGCGGAAGAATGGAGATGTGGCATGCAAAGAGCTGAGGGTTTTCTGCAAGAACAAAAGGCCAATCCAGGATGAGATTGATTGCGATAAGGGCAGGTCTGAAGAGTTTTCCTATTGGTTTGGCATTGAAGAGGCTTTGGAACCAAAGGTTCTCGCCTCGCTCATGACTGGGATCCCAATAGCTTAGCCTGATGGGTCTGGCATTGCGAATTTTTCTTTTTATCGACATCCGGCGCAGTAGGTAGATTGCTAGTTGCTACAATCAAGTTACATCTAGCGTTATGGATTATCTCCACGTAGTGAGTACATAGCACTACTAGTGATTACATATGTACCTGTCTAGAGATCCAGAGATATGGATTGTTCCTCGCAAAAGTACAACGCTCTCCATCAAGTTCTGGTAATAATTAGTACAATTAGTACATACCGGATAGGCAGAGATTGACGCCTGCGTTTTGTACATCGGTCCACGGAGTACATACGTAGATCAGCCAGCAGGAGTCCTTGTTACCCAGGCGTAACAGTCCAGCTGAGTAAATAAAGTCATTTTCACAAGCTGGCTTACGTATATTAATTATTGGATACATATATACCCAACTAGAAAGATCTTAAACTCTCTCCGTCTTATCTTCTTCTGATCACTGCACCATGTATAGTCCGTCGGTTGACCAAAACACAAGCTTTTGCTAAGTAGACGGGTACATAACACTGAAACCCACAGAGTGAGAAACAGGGCGCTACTTTACCTATTTTTCTATTTTAGGACGAATCTCGCCAGATGAAACAAACTTGATATGAGCTGCGGGGGCTGCAGGTGATCGTAGCGCTTAAACGTGACCGGCAGTGTCAGCCTCAGATGACTCGTCACCCGGGTTGAGGGCAATTTTGTATTCCCATTTAATTGAGACTGCGCCCCGTTGAGATCAGGATATTTAAACTTGACTCTCTGCTTATTCTCTTCGTGTATACTCCGGGTTTCCATTCTATGGCCAAGCTTGTTTATGCGACTGCCGTTGACTTAATGCGATACCCCCTCCTGACTTGACAGCTGATCTTTCGACTTTTGGCTATTGACTTTTTTCCGTACTTATTTACAAGTCTTTCCCTCCAAATTCAGCGTCTGGAAAGCCGGTTTGCTTTGGTTCATCATGTCTTATACAACAGATTCGCGCGAGTCGACTGCGCCTCAGGATTACTACTCAAGTCTTGACGAAGAGGGCTCGCTTGTGGAAAGATTTAAGAATATTGACGATAAAACGCAGTTTTACACTGCTATGCGCCGTCTAGAGGATCCTCTTACTCAGAATTTTGTGCTCGATTTTGGTAACGAAGAGGCATGGTGTGCATCTGATCTGGGCACCAGCGAACTGAAACTATTGCTGAGTAAACCGGTAAGTCATTTCCACGGCGGTCAACCTGGTCGATTATACGGTCTACTCAAATATCAATGGCTAACATGATACAGAGAGACAAATGTTTCGGTACACGGTGGATGTAAGGGCTAAGTTCCCAGATGTAGTCGAGTGTATAGTTGTACACTGACAATGAGATCATAGTAATATATGGGCACCCGAGGAGCAGAAGGAAAGCATTAGGGTAGGATGTCCAATTTCATTCGCATATGAGCAGTATAGGCTGACCATTCCCAGGCGATTACCAAACACTATGGGGTGTCGGAACGACTGCAGGGGATGATGTGCACAGAGCCAGTGCATCCTGCACCCAAAACTACACCGACACCATTACCAACAAAAAGGACTTCGCAATCGCCTAGTGTTGCGCCGTCGTTCCAGCAAGAAGTGGACGACCCGGAGAATGCACTCAAGCATCTCGCCGATCCAGATAGAGCCCGCGAGTCAGCGTCATTCAAGAATCTCACCTTTGCACAAGTCACGGATCAAATCTGGCACTTCTCTTCTGTGGATCACGGTCCTCGATGTAAGTATATCACACCAAATTTGAGTAAGAATAAACGCTAAGCAGCCCACCAGACACATGTATCGGCTATAATACGTTGTTTGTGATTCCCACATTATCACAACCGAATGGCAAAGATCTCCCGGATGGAAAACGGCTTTGGACCTGGCTGGTCCAGTGCAATGATGGTATCAGCCGCACGGCGACAACCCATTTCCCGGACCTCAAGTGCAGCCGTTGACTTGTTTGCAGGCACAATAATCTCAATCCAAGAGAACCCGTTCCCAACACGAAAGGGAGTGCCGATAGACGAAGCCAAGCCAGTGCTCGACATCGTGCGTCGGAACATCCGCTTTATTTTCGCTGGTGTTTCGAGACAGCACTTTGCCATGTCCGAGAGCGAGTCCTTAATCACCATCCGGGTGCGACATTTTAGCGATCTCGGACCGGATCAAGCCAATATCAAGCAGGAGGATGGACCGAGTTTGCTCTTCTACTATATCTTCGACGACTGGGTGTCAAGTTATGGACTTATTGCAAAGCGAGAACACAAATATGGCGTTGCTTTGGAGAACTTGGTTAGTATCGTTCTTGTGGCGGGTTTTGGTGATGTGTTCTGATTGTTAACTCTGCGCAGAGAGGGCAAATGCTCGAGCGTCCGGTAGTGGATTTGGTAAACGAGTTGCACTGGCTGGGTCGACGACTTGCAGTTCTCAAACGATTGTATCAGAGCTATGAGCTTATCATGCGGCGACTCTTGCAACGGCAACGCATGCTCCGCGACGAAGCACGTTCGGCTCAACCAGCCGCAATTTCGTATGGAGCCACTTTTGGCGATATGGAGTTCGTGGATATGCGCCAGGCGAGCGTCGTGAGCAATTCCAGTCTCCATATAACTGAGAAATCAGTCGGGGTGCAGCTGAGCTCGACGGCTGTGGCGCGCTTCGAACGATTGGTCGATCGTATCAATTTGTACTGTTTGAGCGAGATTGAGAACTGTCTCAATGAGAAAGAGTCGTTGACGTTCCTGGTGAGTATTCTCCCGGTCTTTGTTCGGAGAATTTCTGCTGACGTGGCCTAGAATTTCAACTTGATTGCGCTCAAGGACTCGCAGGCTGTTGAGAAGCTCACTCGGATCACCATTCTGCTGGCTAAGGCAACCATCTTGTTCCTGCCGGTTAGCTTGATGAGTGCATACTTCTCGACGGAACTTATTGGCGTGAAGAATGGATACACTAAGACAGATTACTGGGTCAGTTTCGCAGTGATCTTCGTTGCTTCCGTCTTGCTCTTGACCGTTTTCGGTTACGCCAGCGATACCGTCGAAGGCAAGACGATTTATCGGTCCATGATACGAACATTCTTCCGAAACTCTCGCCAGAAAATGTCGCGACGACGAGAAGGACAATAAGGGAAACTGGTGAGAACCAAAGAAACAGAGAAATTACGATGTGGAAGTTGGAGCCTATCGGCCTATCAGACACGGGACCGTTTTCGAGGGTCTTCGCCCCTTTGGTATTTCGTTTACGGGGTCAACACCGTGTCCTCTTCCAGGAAATATACTTTCCCAGAGTGTATATAGGCAGAACTATTATTATAAGTCATACCATATATATGAAAAGAGATGTAGAATCATATGCTTCTTTTGCATCTCTTCCAGCCTCACTTTCTCAAGGATTGCGTGTTTTCTAAGTAAAAACGGGTGACGAAGACTACGCCCACCGCCATCGGTCAGCGTATTTCTGCGTATTCAAAACAAAAACGAAACCCCAAATTTCCCCTTCTGACTTCTCTTTCAATAATTCCCCTGAACTTGCATCTCTTGACTTCTCAAACCAAACTTATACCTTTTTCTGCCGGTAAGTGGTTGATGTTCTAACTTGGCTCGTGCCCAGACTTGCCCCCCCTGGATCTCTGACCGACAAGTCCACAACACGTTTTCCAACCCCTCCGCTTTTCCCCTTTCAACCACATCCCTCGATATATCTCTCTGACCTATCCACTTCCCCCAGGATCCGAGGATTAACTCGCTACCGACAACATGGGTATTACTTTCTCGCGGTTGTTTGACCGGCTATGGGGCCGCAAGGAGATGCGCATCCTGATGGTCGGTCTTGACGCCGCTGGTAAGACCACGATCCTGTACAAGCTTAAGCTCGGTGAAATTGTCACCACCATTCCCACCATCGGTTAGTCCGCTCCCCGACCCATCTACCGGCGACACCGTTATGCGCTCTTCGCAATTTCATAAGCCGTGTGGGAAATGTTGAACCCCCCTCCCGGAAACTGACGCCTAGTGCAGGATTCAACGTCGAGACGGTGGAATACAAGAACATCCAATTCACTGTGTGGGATGTCGGTGGTCAGGATAAGATTCGTCCTCTGTGGCGTCACTACTTCCAGAACACGCAGGGTATCATCTTCGTGGTTGATAGCAACGATCGGGATCGTATTGTCGAGGCCCGTGAGGAGTTGCAGCGCATGTTGAACGAGGATGAGCTCCGTGATGCTCTCCTCCTGGTGTTCGCCAACAAGCAGGATTTGCCGGTAAGAACTTGGATCGTTGGAAAATGTTTGATGGATCTCATGCTGACCTCCCCCGCTTTTGTCTAGAACGCCATGAGCCCCGCCGAGATCACGCAGCAGCTGGGTCTCCAGAGCCTTACCCGTCGTGCCTGGGTAAGTGACTCTCTTGATGTATGTGCTATGTACAGTTTCACTAATAATCAATCCAGTTCATCCAATCAACCTGCGCCACTACTGGTGACGGTCTGTACGAGGGTCTGGAGTGGCTCGCCGATGCGCTCCGGAAAACCAACCGGGATTAAGGTCTATAATGCAACTCGAATCGGACGTGTAGCTGGGTGAAGGAGACTACTGAAATTTGCAAATGATGGATTGATGATCACGATGGCGGGGAGTTCTTTGGCCACACATGACATTGATCTCTGCAAGAAAAGGGGTTCTGCAACTGGTTCGCTACTTCTTTTGATGTTCTCTCTTCAAACGGCTCTTTTTCCTCTACGCTATGCTATTAGCCTCATTTGTTTTTCTTCTCTCCGGCGTCGCTCCAAAATTACTTCTCTGCCTTGGAACCCCCAGAGATCTGTATAAGTACTCAAAATTGTAAAATCCCAGATTCTCAGATTGGGCAAGGAGAGAGAGAACATTAAAGGAACAAATGAGCAGAGATTTCGAACTTTCCATCTGCTTTCGTATATTAGCCGCTTTAGGTCTAATACGGTAGTCCATCACGTGATGGTACCTGATCCCGACTCAGCCCGACTATGTAGGCTTTGGCAGCCATATCTAAGGTTGTTTTTATTTAGTTCTGGTCAAAGTACAGCAATGTCTAGCCAAAGATTTTTGGATTAGGTGGGTCCAGGTACAATATACATTGCAGTAGGATAATTAGGGCTAACGCGGACACATGGTGTGCCCTGGATTTATAGGACAAAACGCATATAACTGCCCGAACGAATGCTATAAACACACAGCTCTGACTGCCGAAAACGTGTCACCGCGCTGGTCCAGTTTTCGGGCTGGTGATGTGGTATGATTACAGACCTTCGGTATCTGCAGGTTCCTGATATGGCCAAAGTTTCGTGAATAATTCTCTCTCTTCGTCATCTTTGGCCAATCCGATGAAGATGTCTTTGAATTTCCGGCTGTTCTTCTGGGCAATATCATAGTCTTTAGGCTCCACCATGCCATCCACAGGGAGCATGGATTCGTCTCGGAACAATGTCAGTATCTTCCCGACACCATTTATGTTCTCCTCTTCCTTGGAATGAAGCTCGACATCCTCATTGGTGAAATTGATCGGACATGGTACACCCGGGACAAGCTCTTCCCAGTGAGCGAAGAGCGCCATGAGTGATTCGCGAAGGAAAAATAGATCGCGGTTTTCCCACACTCCCGTGACGAGCCAAACTGGCTTTCGGATGATAGGGATCCTCATATTTTTGAGGACAGACCAGTAATGAGGTGATCGTCTATACACCTGGGCCTCGTAGTATTTATGAAGGATCTGACTCTCTAGATCATCGTCAATCTTGCGTTGTTCCTTTACACTCAGGCTGTCAAAGTCTTCCGGTCTTTCGGGGACGCCCCAGCCTTCCTGAAGAGGCCCACGGTGGGCACACATCCTTGGAACATCGGCATGATAGAACAGCGGTGCAACACATGCCGATTGCCAATCCACGATACGTGTGATTTGAAGGGTCTCTGGATCGACGAAGATGTTGTCCAGATGAAGATCGGGGTGCATTAGAACGTTCTTGGATGGTGTTTCGTCGGACGCTGCGTCGTTGGTAGGCTGAGGAGCTACATAAGAGCAACTTTCATATATTTGTCTAAAAGAGCAAGACCGTCCTCAGGACGTTCCTGGGCTTTGAGCGACCGATAATAGTTCATCCGAGCAATTGCATATGACTTGATATACGCAATCTCGTTCCGCCCCAACGCGCGTGTGTAATCACTGGGGTCCTTCCCTAGATATTTTTTCAAAAAAGGATTAGGGGCTTTACACTAGCCTGACGAATCTTTTGACTCACAGGGACCACGATCCAAATCCATGCCACTCCTTACCCGTTCCACAATTCGCCGGTAGTGAGAGGTCCTATAGCAAACGTATCAGGGATGTTGGTCGTAGTAGACTAATTTTGACTTCTTTAGGTTCCTCGCCTAAGGAGCGAAGATCATCCTGGAAGTAAATATAGCCGTGCATATCGAAAGTCACACCGGCTAAAGTGTTCTGGATATCAACCACTTGGGTGATCAATTGGAGCTTTGACTTTCGAGACCATTGACGCCAACCAGAGCCAAGACGAACACCGGGTGCTTTTTCTTCAATAATATACTCAGCCCTGGCAGGACTACTTGACGCGTCAAAAGACCATGCTAGGACTCGGGGAACAGGGACGCTCAATACGTCGGAAAGCTGTAGAGTTGAGTTTTGGAGATAGCAAGAGGAATCGGCAATCTTACTAACTTGCGCGTGGCGATCTCGGATGCAATTGTGAAACGAGCAGCCCCGGCTTTGGGATTTGGGAGCTTGGCGAAAACCTCACAACCGTTATCCATTGTCAAAATGAGTGCTTTGTTATGTAGCCCTTCTGCACATTTTGTGACCTTGATGCCTAGTGTGAACATTAGCATATTATTTTGTTGCGAGTCCCGAAGGATAGTAACCTACAGGATTGAGCTCCCTCACAAACACGGACGGCAATCAGAACCAGTTGCTGTAGGTCAAACCCAACGTAACGCTTAGACAGTTGTTTTTCCTCATTGAATCTTGAAATTTGACTCAAGTTACAATCATTGTCTTACCCGGGAACGAAATGCGTAGCTTACAGCCATCGGTGCCTGGTGTATCGGTGCAGATCTTCCTCAGGAAACTTCTCGTCTAGAGGAGACATAATCAGTTATTTAGCGTATCTAAACAAAACCATGATGCTTTCAATTATGACATTGTTACCTTTGCCGTTTTGTGTTTCAGTATAGAGCTCAGGAGAGCGAGGGACGTAGTCTTGTCCGCCGAGGCGAGACGACGAGAAGAAGCTCATATTCTGAGGTAGAGAGCAAGGAAACGCGTGTTTGTTGCCTTTCCAATTGGCCCAAGGAATTTTGGAAATAATTCGCACTGCCATCTTGTGGAATAGCCTGGGGGAGTGCCATAGGAAGGTGTGATGGGAGTTCGAAGGGGCTAGCCTTGCAAGTCTAAGCCCGTGCTGACTGGGCCTAACCACATCGGGCACTGGAGGAAGGTACTTAGTATGTACTAGCAGGTAGTTCTTTGCCTGTATCTTTCGAATTCCAAGGTTCTAAGGTTCTAAGGTTCTAAGGTTCTTTCCATCACATAGAACGTTACCTTAGTGCCTACATAATGTACCTACATCCGTGGATCCTTTGAAATAACCTTTAGATCTACATCATCTATACATGTAAATCTTCTGCTCATCATCATCATCACCACTCTTCTTCTTCTTCTTCTTCTTCTTCTTCTTCTTCTTCTTCTTCTTCGTGTTCTTCGTGTCTCAAAATTATTCAACAATCATGTTTGCTCATGCTTTGCCCGGAGTTGAGAATTGTTTTACCGTGGCCATGGAGGACTCCTATGAGTCAAAGATTGGTCACGAAGACCTTGAGGGACAAGTATCCTTGATCTTGCTCATCGATCTCCTCCGTGATTTCTTTACCGCAGAAGATGGCGAGACAGAGTTTGAGGGTAATTTCTGAGCTACTACCGGCTTTTTCAATCTTGTTTGAACCGTACACCATCCATGCAAGGGAGTGCAGAACATGGTTCACGGATGCCGCTTGCTGGCGAGGTGTGAGGTGTGAGACCAGTTTTAAATACGTCGGACAGCTCATTTGCAAGGGTGGCCATCTCGCGGAAGACGGTATCAGGCTCAAAGGAGAGTCTCATCGGCCAAAACCTTCCTGTAGACACTTCGGCTGTCCTACGCAGTCGGCGAGAGGTCGTACAACATGCCAAAGCTGTAGCATTTATGATCGACCAATTGTGCGTCCGTGGCCAGGATCTGAGCGGACAAATCATCCTCGAAGCCTACCGGATTCTGACCTACAAAGTTGACGCTGACACTACCCCCTGGATGGAATATAGTGGCGTCTACCGATCACACGAAGTTAGTGTAGGCCTACAGGCGTATCCTCATCCCTCCCTAGTTCCATACAAAATGAAGTCCATGTTTCACGAGCTTAAGTGCGACCTGAAAGAAGCTACAACAAATAGGACAATCGACCCTATTGCCTTGGCATCGAAGTATACGCACATCTTCGTGAATATTCATCCATTTATTGATGGCAACGGCCGCATGTGCAGTTTGATTCTCAACTTAATGCTACTGAAGTTCGGGGCCTTCCTTGCTTGTATTGGGGTAGATGAAGATGGCTGATCAATCTACGGGGAAATCGCTTCCAACGGAGGGGCTCTTGAATACTTATATAAGATGCAGAGGAAGAAGAAAAGCCCAAGCTGGATAAAGAACTGGCTAGTTACGTCTTGGCTCATGTGAAAGAGTACGACCGAGTTGATTAGTGCTGTGGCACAAAGAAGTCCAGGAACTGGTCATGGATTGGCTGGAGGTTTAAGTATTTTCAATGGATATTTTGCAGGATGTTAGGCACCAAAGACCAGGCCCTGGAGTATGAAGTTATGGATATGCTCAATTGCATCAACTACACGAGAATATTCGGCCCTTATGCGGCATTGTGTCTTTTTAGTAGTCTGAGATATTCTTGTTGGCCATCCAAATCTAGTTTATATAAGTAGATTTGTATGTTAGAAGGGCTATAAGTTAGCCCATAAGATCTACCTATAGACTAAAATAGAAAAAAAAAGGAGAAAAGAAAAAGTCCCCAGGGCTGATCCGCTAGGGCTTAGACCAGTCCATTTGAGGAGACAACTGCGTAATCGCTTTCTTGGAAAGCGCCAACAGTCTTGGCACTTTAAACCGCAGAAAATACCGGCTTGGACCTGAGGGACTGTTTATCTTTTGTTTTGCATTCGAATATTGTCTAGTTTAGGCAAATTGTACTATTTTATACTGTTTCCCACTATTTTCACCTCCTTTTACCTCTGCCCAGGTGGTTACCTCCACAAAGTGACACCAGCCCGAGGCCCCCCAATTGCCTGGCCGACGATCAACAACACAGCGCATCGCGTGCCTCTCCTTCTCCAACAATCACCCCTGATCTGGGCAATATCTGGCCGATTATTCTATCCTTACACTTATTAGATAGATGGGCTGGTGATTGAGTGATTTTAGACAATTGCCCCACTCATTCAATGTTGACACCTTGTCTGGAATCATGACCGTCCAGGCGAGGAGGCACTCCGCAGCCTACAAGTCCCCATCACCCTATAATTCACGAGATACAGACATCGAAAAACAACCCACCGCCGGGCGCCACACATATCACCACCACCTGAGTGACGACCCCGACTCTGACGACGAGTTGCTGGACGATAACAATGTCGCGGACTCCTACCCGCCGCCCATCGTAGCTGGCGGCAGTCTTCGCCGCCCCCACGCTAGCGTTGGCTTTCGCGTGCCCCAGCGGATCATGCGCTGGCTTTGCCTCGCTCTTTTCGCTGCCCTCGTCCTCTTCGTCCTCACCCTCTTCCGCTTTACCATCTCCACCTCCGTTTCACAAGTCGCCGTCGACCTACCCAAGGTCGGCGCCCCGAAGCCGCCACAATGGGAGAGCTTCCCGTTCCTCAATCGCTATGAGGGCGGTATCTCTTCCTTGGTCCCACGCTCTGAAAATGTCCCCGAGTACCCCGGCGACGGCTCCGAGGAGCTGGCTATGCGGACCGACGAAAACGACGAGCAGAAAGAGCAGGAGCAGGAAGCCAACAAGGTGACCAAGAGGGATTTGCACCCGAAGATGTTGAGTAAGGTGTTCAACCCTTATCCTGACTACCAGTCGCCAGAATACATAGGGAAATATGGCGAGAAACGCGAGTGTTTCCTCAACGTGGAAAACTCGCTGCGGGTTCCGTCTATCCAAAGCTACCCCGGAGTTCCAAAGGGCTTCCCGGACCCAGCGCTAGGCTCGAATACGATGTTGGGTATTCGAGACGACATGTGCTTTGATCGATTTGGTCGATTAGGTCCATACGGGCTGGGATACGGGGCCAAGAAAGGTGGCATCGGTGCGGGCATGGAGGGCCACCGTGAGGGCGCCGACCGTGTGTGGGAGGATGTACCGCCGGTGGATTTCCGACAGGTGGATTGGGCTGCTGCGCAACATCGCTGCCACACGGCTAACCGCCATCGCTTTAAGGAGCTACCGGAGCCGCGCCTCAACCGCTTTGTTTCTATGCCTGTGGGTATTCCCAAGGTGAACATCCCGCCTGTGCAAGATAGCCGCAAGGAACCGCCCAAGGTTGGATCTGAGCGTCTTCCTCGTACTGCAGTTGTTATTCGCACATGGCACGATTTCCATTATACCCCGGAGGACATTATGTATATGCGCTCTGTCATCTCAGAGCTCTCGCTGATGTCTGGTGGCGAGTATACTGTTCACTTTTTGGTTCATGTCAAAGATACCAACCTGCAGATCTGGTCTGATGACGAGACATACCAGCGTGTGCTTGATGACGCGCTGCCAGAAGAGTTCCGCGGTATGGGAACTCTCTGGTCCGAGCCGCAGATGGCCTTGATGTATCCCGGATTGGAGGAAACCTTGACTCGCGGTTTGCCAATCCACGGTGTCTACCGCAGCACGTACATGCCCATGCAGTACTTCGCCTTCCAGCATCCTGAGTACGATTACTTCTGGAACTGGGAGATGGATGCGCGTTACACCGGTCACTGGTACCACCTCTTTGACAAGGTCGGCGAGTGGGCGAAAAAGCAGCCACGAAAGGGTCTATGGGAACGCAATGCTCGCTTCTACGTTCCGTCAGTCCACGGCTCATGGGAAGACTTCCGGCAGATGGTCCGCGTGCAGACCGAAAGCGGTACCAACTCCGCCAACAACATGTGGAGCGCCGCTAACGGTGCGGGAGGCAACACGCGGAGCGCAATGCACCAACAGGGCGACAAGTCCATCTGGGGCCCCGAGCGCCCCGACGAACGGGACATCTTCGAGGTCGAGGGCGAGGGCATCCCACCCACAAGTATGGATAAGGACCAGTACCAATGGGGTGTGGGTGAGGACGCCGACCTAGTCGTTTTCAATCCGCTCTACGACCCCGAGGGCACGACCTGGCTGCTGCGCGACGACGTGACAGGCTACAACAAGGAGAAGGGCATGCCACCACGACGCACTGCGATCATCACCGCATCGCGAATCTCCCGCAAACTGCTCACCACCATGCACCGCGAATGCAGCCTCAAGCGCCACAGCATGTTCTCGGAGATGTGGCCCGCCACCACCGCGCTGCACCACGGCTTCAAGGCTGTCTTCGTCCCGCACGCCGTCTACGTCGACCGCCGCTGGCCGACCCGTTACCTGGAATCAGTGTTCAATGCCGGTCGCAACGGAGCCTCCGGTGGTGCTCGCACGTCCATTTTCGGCGATCGTGAACACAACTTCCGTGGTACGACCTGGTTTTACTCGGCGGGCTTCTCGCCGAATATCTGGCGCCGCTGGCTTGGTCTCCGCGTCGACAATGACGGCGGTGAGCAGCAGGAGCTGGCTGGCGAGGGCCGCATGTGTCTTCCTCCTATGCTGTTGCATCCTGTCAAAGAAGTTAATATGGTCATTGACGATGGAGAGAAAGCAGAGGATCGCTGATGACAGGCATTATATATGACTTCTCTCGGAATTGCTGCTGCAATTCATGCCTTGGGCGTTGCCCCTCCCACCCTCTTCTCTTCCTGCCATCTCCAGGATTCATGCACGCTTTGGGGTAGATGCTTATTTGCTTTGCATTGGTTCTCATAATTACTGTATAATGACCCTCATTCCCCGGTGGCATAGTGTCCCCACGTTTTGGATTCCCGTTTAGCAATTTTGGTGCGAAAAAGGCGTTCCCATGGCCTGGATGGCCGGATGGCCTATGGCTCACGATGCATTCTGGATTTTCCCTCCTACTTGGTCTAATCATTAGAGGTTCGCTAGATTGTTTTCTGCCTTGGGAGAGTTCTGTTTTTTGGTTTTGACCTGGACTAGATCTTGAGAAGGACAAGATGGACTTCCTCCAGCCCAGGAGGGCTATTTTGGTTAGAAATTGTCCCTTGCACATAATTCACACTTTTTGGTTTCATTATGAGTCCTATGTATACTTAAGTAGAACGTGAGGTGTCGCTAGAAATACAAATATGCCATATGCCATGCAATATAACTCCATCCCAATCCTGTCCCATCCCAACTCCACAATCAGCATTCAAAACCTCACTCACTTCCCATCTCCATCACATCGCAACCTCGCCCTTCCTCAAAATCGGCGCAACCTCCCCAGGACAATCCTTAACCAACACCAGCGGACTCCGCGCCACAAATCCCGTCGGCACAAAACAAATACTACACTCATAAACCCCGTCCTCATCAACTCCATACTGGATACAAGTCCTACAAACACGATGTCCACACGTCGTGAGGAGTACCTCAACCCTCTCCCCGTCGGAAACACAAGTATGACAGAAATGCGTCGGAAACCGAATAGGCGGATACTGGACCATGCGGCGCTCTATCTCGGAAGCGAGTTCTTTTCCCTTTTCGACGCGCGCCCGGAGGAGCGCCGCTTTGGTGCGTAGTTTGTCCATCGTGGATTTGTTGAAGGGGTTGCTGGTTGCTTCTTTATTTGTGTTTGGCTTTTGCAGGGTTGGGACAGGTTCGAGGAAGATTACTGGTCGGAAGCGTTCGCGTAGAGGTCTGTCTTGCATGCTCTTTTGTTCGAGGAGCCAGCGGCGGCGGATTTGGCGGTTCAGGAGGATTGTGTAGATTATTGTGAAGGTTTGCCAGGCGCGCCATTCTGAGATTGGGTCCAGTGGGGTTGGGATTGTGCTTGGGGACATTGGTTTTGAGGGTTCGGTCACAACAGTATATGTTGTATGTGGGGTAGTAGTAGTAGAAGTAGTAGTAGTAGTCGTAGTAGTCGTAGTAGTGGAGAGGAGAGTGTGGCGAATGTAGAAGTATTGACTTCGGAACCCTAACTTGGGTTCTTTTGATTGGAAGTCCAGATCTGATTGAGCTGTAGTGCTTGAGAATTTATGTTTTCAGAGAAGTCAAGCAAGAATATGTGGAATATATAGACGTAGAGATGTAGAAATAGAAAAGCCGTCGGCCGAAGTCGCAGATATAATACAACATAGAAGATATGCCCCAGACCAAACTAAGCCTCAATTTACATAGCAGTGATTGGTTGGACTATGACTACTTTGCCTCTCATCCACATATTCGCCTAGACTCTCTTTCAGATTCTAGCCGAGGTATCCATATCCCATGGAATACACTATGGATCTGCCCGGGAAGCCCGCCACCCGGAATTTCTTCTGTTTGACCTGCCCAATTGGGGGAATATCACTTATAGATCCAGTCTTTCAAAGTGTCAAAAATTTTCAGTCGAGATGTCATATCGGCCTTTGCCGCAATGGAGAATATATCCCTCGATTACATTGGTCTAGAACATCGACCCTGTGAATATGTATAAAACTTCTCTTCTATCCCTTCTATCGCTCGCATCGGCTCTTTTTCCTTATTTTTATACAATTAAAGTTTTAAAGTTTTCCCCTCTATTCTTGAATCTTCAGGCTTTTATCCGCTCGGCAATGTCTATTGTGCTGTCCTTCGGCCGGAGGCTCAGCACCTCCTCTCTTCCTAGTCTTCAGTTCGCTCTTGTATGCAGTACTCCAAATCTCTAATCTATCTCACGTATGAATAGGAAATCAACTTCCTCTTCCCTTTGCTTGTCATGCCTTTATCCTCCAAATTGTCCTCAACGCATTCCCAGGACAAGATAGAAACCCCCTTGAAATGGAAAGTATACAAATATTCGACTCCAGAACCAGAATCAACGCTCTTGGCGGATATCGCATACTCCCCAGGAAGAGAACACTCCTCCTTCATCTCCCGGTGAAGAGGCATCAACTCCCAAACCTGGATAAGTTGGTCAGCTGACAGCGTATCCGCCAAGCCCGACCATAACCCAATTCGGGAAGTGGCAATATCTCCCACTTCTGCCAATCGCATGAACCACACTTTGTGTCGTGCAGGCTGTTCCCGTCCGGTCTCCACACAGACATACTCCCTATCATACGCCGTGCTAGTCGGATACCGCGGGTAAAAGGTTAAAGTCCCAGAGGACGTCTCACTGTCAGTAGCACCTGCTGTCTGCGCAGAACACTTCCAAGTCCCATGCAGAGCCCGAAAGATCGCCGACGCCGCGGCCTTCTGTGCTGTCTCGTGGCCAGGGGTAAGAGCATCGTCCAAAGCACCTAATGTCCTCCCTGGCTCACTCTCTATACCTGGCGTTGGGGTATCGCCGTAAAGGTACCTCGCAGGAACAGCAGGTCCAGACCGACCATCCACTGATTCCAGCGTCGAGCGACTAATACCTAGATCCTTGGCGAACGACTCCATCAGTCCGACATAGTCGCCCATGGGGAACTGGCCACGGGCGAGATCCCGGTGTGCCAATCTGAGACTGCGAAGACTTTGCTTCTGGTCATCTGTCTCACATAGCGCACCGCTTTTCTCTCCACTCCATAGTTTCCCAAGGAACCTCGCTTGCATCTCCATGACACCCCAGTACGGGCCGCGGTAGAATCCGACGAATCCGACATCGGGGATTTCCGAGCGGATTGTACCTCCCTTGTCGAGAATCAACGGCGAGAAGGGATCTGTCGCGGAGTATTCAAGCGTCGCCAATACTTCATCTGGTAGCAATGACAGGGACTTGTACGGCGTGAATCCAGTGGCCATGACTATCACCGCCACATTGTCTATCGTCTTGGTATTCCCGTCGGCCCCTTCGTACTGAACTGAAGCTCTTTTAGTATCTGGATCAGAATGCACAGAAGTCACCCGGCCCATCGAGGCTTGAATCGCTCCGCATCGTACGAACTCGGCGTGATCATTGCCTATGGCGACCCATGGTGGCTGGGTTCTGGATTGTTCGGCACCATGTGGTGCGTCCATATGCCCGTATTTCTCGTAGTCACTCCCGAGCAAGGAGTGGAAGTAACTGTTTGTTTTAACTGCTTTCTCTTCTGGGATGGGACCCAAGGCGTAGTCTATTGGACCCGGGGGTCGGCGGCCTAGGTCGTACATGGCTAAATCCAAGGGTAAAAATGATGGACTCCCGTCGGGCGACTCGTGGGGGAGATAGGTCGGCAAGGTCCAGAAGGGTCTTGAATGTATATGATGGACTTTTGTCTCCTGGATATGTGGGATTCTGTTCGTGGAAAGTGTAGATGAGGATTGGCGGAGAGCCACAGCAGATGCGGCTTCAACGCCTGACATGCTGCCGCCAATGACGACGATCTGGCCATTCACATCCTTGGTTTCATTAAAAAGCAGCCGCTCTCGTTCATAATGGAGCGAAGAGCTGTGGATGATTTGGCCTTGGAATTGCTTTAGACCTGGTATCTCTGGAATATACTGCTGGGCAAAGTATCCGGACGCGATGACAATCAGGTCGAAATCTTGTGAAGACACTCGATCGTCCAGTGATCCATATTCCGGCTGCGCTTTCTCCGCACTATATATATATGGCTGTTAGTCAACGTCCAGCTCGAGCATAGTGATACACTAGTAAGTTCCAACATACCTCTCCTGAACCCACTGGATATTCCACTTTGCATTACCGCCATCCTCGACCTTCCGTATAGTTCTTACCACTCTACACCCTAGCCTAAGCACATGGGTTGGAATGTACCGCTCTGCATAGCAGGCCAAGTATTCTCCAACTTGTCTCGCCTGAGGAAAAACTGGAACATCCGCGTCGCGAATCACCGACTCCCAGGCAAGATCCGAAAAAGCAACCGTGAAGCGGCTGAGGTTGGTCCGCATCCGAGGGTCTAGTGTGACCGGGCGATGGACTCGATTGGGAGAATGATGGTGACTTGACCACAGACCTCCGACTTTGTTTTGGCTGTCAAAGATGATTGGAGAGAATGTCCCGCGCGGGAAATTATGAAGAAGGGTTTTGGCTGTGACTAGGCCTGAGGGGCCGGCGCCTGTGCGATGTTAATGTGAGCTCAGATACTGCCCTGGGTATATAGACTTGTGTCTGCGACGTTGACTCACCGATTATTGCTACTTTCTTGGGTGACATTTTGGGGTTGGAGGTGAGGTCTCCAATGTACGGAGAGTGGCGTCTCTTTGTGTCTGACGTGTATTTTTCAATATGCTAATGTATACTAATGTCGGAAGTCATACAACTGCAAGGCAGACTTGAGTTGTGTCGCTAGACTTACCCCGCCTGTATCCACTTGGGAACAGCTCGGGTCTCCTTCTATTTTTATATATAAAATATTTGAATGTTGAAAAATATATTTTGAATAAGATGTAGTACGTTGTATAACAATTAGTTACAATTCTACAATAATAAACCACGTACAATATGGACTCGCGTAAACCTCATCGATGCCGCTATCCCACGTCGGGCGTAACACTTTTATAACCCACACATTATTTGGACATGTACATACGTATACATCGACGTACTTTGTACCTTGTACATCTCTTTCAAATTCCAATTCGCCAAGAAGGCGGAGCATAACGCTTTCGGCATGCCAGCAAATCATGACGTTAACGCCAAGCATAACCTCAACAACCAGGGGTTTGAATTCCCCCATACAGCAACCATGACGGGTTTTCTGGCCCGCGGAGAAAGCGCTTTAGAGCCAGGATTGAGTTTCCCAATATTTGACGGGCGCTCTGGAGTCCGGCCGCGGGGGAAGGGGAAAGAGGTCGAGAAAAGTTCGAGAAGAAGCCTAACGGAACTCTGTATTCGCTCGTACTCGTGGTCGTACTCGTGCTAGTTTCCATATTTGGCTGTGTGCACATGGTATTTTCGGACTTAGGACACTCGCTGTAACCATTCGGTGACTTGGATCTCGGGCGAGTGTAGATTGGGCTTGTAGGCCGCGTTGCATTCTTGCTCGGTGACCAACGTGTCGACGTTTCTCTCGGTCAAAGGGGTTTTGTACTGGTTCTTTTTTCGGAGGAGTTCCTTTTCCGCAAAGGCGGATGGTGACAGCTTTGATAGTGTGTCTCGGAGTCGTTTGATGCCACTAGGGACGGACCGTTGTACTTGGGGTGGACCGAATGGGTTGTTGGATCTCCATGGACAGTCGGAAGTCACGGATTGAACGGGCTTCTTGCTGGGAGACAGTGTCCTCGACATTGTTCGCGATATTGGGGGGTGGGGAAGTTCGATGCATCTGAGATTATTTTGGTTGGGAGGATTAGAGAGGGATGGATTTTGATTAAGTATGTACAATATATAGCTCATCATTATCTTGGCTGAGCATATCACCTGGCTAATTCCGCGGGACCCGCGCAGACATGCTCTGTTGTAGTATCATTGGATCCCCAGTGATCCATCCTCATTTAACACGCAGTAGTCGCTATACTTCCCCCACAAGTCTTTCGTTGGTGATCGGCAGATGCACATGAACTTAGGATGATCTACTATTGGGGCTCACCGGTTGGAAATTAAGGATGCCATCCACGAATAATGGCCAACAAAAATCCGGTGAAGTGTCCACGGGTACTACGTCATACTGGGAGATGTCGATCAAGGCATGGTCTTCGCAATGGTCTTGGCGCAAACTATCCAAGGGAAGATGGTACTTCTTGACGAATGGGAAACCAATTGAAGACGGAGAAATTGAATGAAATCAACCATCCAAGGTTGGCCAGGTGGCCATAAGGCGTGGAAAGTATAAAAAAGAGCAGATGACAGTCAGAGTTATATTACACCTAGAATCTGAGGACCGCCGCCCTGTGCCCTATTCTGCACCCAACTAGCACTATTAGTCATCCTCCTCGTCCTATTATTGCCGCTTGACCACAACGATTGTTCCCTGCGTTTCTACTCGCGACTAAAAAGACGCCGAAAATAGCTCTCCTCTATATCGAAACCTAGGCCCCCCCCTTGTCTCTAGCAAGAAGTTACTAGTGACGCGCGCTCTCGCACACGGTATGCCCTGAATCGAAGAAGCAGAAAACCAAGCACGTGACGGGATCGCATCACGTGCATTTCCAAGTACCTGACCAATGACAGTGAGGCTTGGCACGAAATTTGGCTGTGTTTCTCACAGCTTCAAAACTCAGCTTTCAAGTCCGCCTCGCGCAGACTCACGGTTTGATGATACATTGTCTTCTTCAAGTTCGTGGTCAACCTGTCTCCTGGCCGAGTGTTTGTCGAGCTAAGAAACTTCTGTCAGCAGAGTACACCGTGAGAAGGAGACGTCTCATACCTTATAGACGAGCCAAATATAGCCAAACATAACGACAGAACAGACAATCAGTACTATGGAGCCCTTTTTCCAATACGGAGTGTCATTGGCAGAGTAAAATAAAATACCCCAAAAAGTCCACAGCACCATGGAGCCAATGTTCATTGCGAAAAGGGTCACACTGCGCACAGCATCATCCCCGCTCCGCTGCAAGATGACATTTGCCCAGCCAAAAATGAGTGGGTTGACCATATATGCGGTGCCAGCGAGATAAAAAGCAAAGAAGGTACCCGTGAAAGACAAGCTCGGTACGAGAAGCATGCTACCAACGACGATTGATAGAAGGCAGGCCAAGATCGCCATTGGGACTCGCTTGCCAGTAACGTCCATATGCCAAGCTGCGACCATATTAGCCACGATGCCTACAGCTTGAACCCCGAGAGGATAGGTGTTGATCTGGGTTTGGGTGAAATGGTTCTTGTAGTGCTTAAGCCAGAGCAGGAAGTTATTCTGCAAGGGAAACGCCTCAATGGTTGCACAGACGGGTGACCAGAAAAACAATATCCAACTTCATTAAAAGGTCAGCATGAATTAATTCCAAAGATGGCATGACTTACAAGGTTTTGGTTAAAAAGACGCGCTTGAACAGCGACAACGGCATGATGTTATGACCGTCCTTTTTGACACGAGGAAGTCTTGTGACAGCAAGCCGCTTCTCATCTGTAGTGAGATATTTTGCCTTGGTACTATCGGGAATGTCGGGAAAGTAGAGGAAACCAAAGATCGCAATCGGCAGGGTGATGATGCCATCTGTGGCCCTCCGTCAGCGCCTTATCCTCCCGGATTTAAAAGCGGATTACTAGATAGACCATACCGATGAGGAAAACCCATTGCCAGCCTGCGACGTTGGCCATGCCAGCCATGGTTTTATGAATGGCAGCCATCATGATGCCGGCAAACATTGTACCCACTTGACCAGATGCTGTGAAGAGTGCAGTGCGCTTCGCAATCTCATCAGATTTATACCACGCTCCAATGATGTACATTGTCCCTGGGTAGGTGCTGCCCTCGGTTATTCCTAAGAAAAATCTGATAACGCATAGCTGCGTTACGGTCTTCACTGCTGCACTGGCCATCTATAATATGCTGTTAGAAACGGCCACCGAAGGGGATCATCGGGCTTACTGTCAAGCCAGCCCAAATGACAACCATCAGGGGGAACCAAATGCGTGGCGGCACTCGTTGAATAATGATCCCGTGGGGCAGCTGCCCAACAGCCATTCTACAGACACAAAATAACAGTGAGTAATTGAACTTGAACCATCCATGGATTAGGAGTCGCAATTAACCATACCCCGCAATAGTGACGGAGAGAACGGTGTTGTAGTCATGACCACTCATATTAAGAGCCTCCCGAAGCCCGGCAACCTGTATAGGGAAGTTTTTATTAGCTAGCCACGACTTAGTGCAGCGTTGTCATCCTCCTAAACCCGCATCATGAAGGAAATAAAGGTGAGTGCTCACGTAGGCGTTAGCGAAAGCCGCGCGATCTGTGAGACCGGCGAAATTGTAAGCTAACCAGATCCTCCGACGGTATTCGAACGATCATACCCACCGAGAAAATTAAAAAAGTAACTTAAGCAGCAGTAGGTCTATAGGCGCAATTAGGAGTTTGCTTCACGCGATGGTATCAAAGATTAAATGCTGTTTAAACTCACGAGAATGTAGAAGTCTATGGATCAAATGGTAACCTTGAGCCTCTCTTCAACGGCTTGTAAGCGGGCCAGCAGAATCGTACCGAGTTTTTGAACAAGCCGTTGCTCCTCTTTTGTCTCCGCAGTAGCGCCTAGGAAAAACCCTTAGAACAAGAGACATTAAGTCAGTTCAATTCCACAAATGGGTAGACAATGAATGACGTGACGCACTCCTGATTCGGACCCCGAGAGAAACATTCTGATCCTGCATCATTGATGAAGATGACAGCGGCAAGTGGAATCAGGCAGTGAGGGGAGGATGTTGAGCACACCCTGTTGGTGAGGAACAGAGGGTAAAGGTCTGAATATATGAGAGCACCAAAAAGCGAGATCAGAGAGTGTGAATGCACAGGACAGATGATATCATGAGATATGTACAATCATAATAGTCGTAAGAACTATGTAGGAAAGAGAAGAAAGGGTAGAATATCTCCATGGGAGGTCATGTGACATCTACACAGAGAACCATAGAACCTTATTTGGAACCTTATTTGATTTGATCAGTGATTGATAAGAAGTTGAACCGTGGTAGACCCCGCCACGGCCCACGTTTGGGCGGCCCATGATCATGATGGCCCCCTCCTTTCACCTGTCCAAACACCTCACGATTACATGCAAATTTGTTCAATGTTGTAATATACTGGTGATGCGCGCTCTCGCACGAGGTATGCGCTGAAACGATCGAGGGAGCGTAGAAAAAAAAGCAAACACGTGACGGGAACGCATCGCGTGCATTGCCAAGTACTCGCGCCAATGAGAGCGACACTTGGCGCGAAATTTCACCCCACAAAGAAAACTCTGCATGTAAATTATCTGATCCCCTGTACGGAGTACGTTGTAGTAAAAGCTTCACCTGTTTTTACTGCATTTTTTGACGCCTTTCGACTGCATTCTTGACTGCTTTTTTGCCTACAATATGTCGTCAACTGGGTTAACCCTAGTAAATTAGCCCAATACAGATCATGTGATCTAATGGAGGCATGGAGATATCGAGATAGAGGCATAAATTGAAGGCATTAATATGGGGAATTAATATGGGCCAAGTACTATGTGGCCGCAGTGGTTCGGGGGCTGTGTTTTTTACTACGGCGATACCATAATAAATACACTTCTAGTTATTGAAAATGGAGTGCCAAGAAGGATTATCCTAAAATGGTTTAGACCACTGTGCCAACCGTATGTCCCACATGTCGCATGCGGCTATAGCGCTGCGTATATTGTAGAGAGGAGGTTACAGGACACGCATGTTAGGGCGCTAAGCCGGGAACGGAAAAGCTAACCGGATGTACAATATAGTAATTCACAGGTCCGCCGTTTACACTATACATGGATCCTCTATGCATCTATACTGTATACTAGTATACAGCTGTTTCGGCGGAATCACTTCAATTTTTATACTCAATAAGTAAACCGGAAACTGGGATGATCATCCCCAGCATTCTCCAGCTCCTCCCTGGGCCAATGGTACCGATGGTCCCTCTTACCCTGCTCACGCAGCCGATTTTCACGGTATACATAACCAAAGAAGACAATACATGCCATACCACCGATCCATATCATCCCTAGACTGGTACCAAACCCGGTTCTGTAGGTTGGAGCTTCTGAGTCAAAGAAAACATTGCTAGCGACCAGACCGCCGCAGTTACCAAAGCCGATCTGCATGGCTGAGGCGATAGATTGCTTGTAATGTCCAGCCATGTTGTTACTCACCCAGCCCAACAAGATTGGCTGCGTCATATATCCTCCACCCGTGATTGCGAATAGGGCGAAGTATCGGGCAGCAACTGGCACCGACTCCTGATAGATGAGAATAACATACCCAATGGTGGCGATGACACATCCCAGCAATGTGAAGGTGAATCGATGGCGGAGTCGGTCGCTAATGAAGGCTGTAGCTAGTGCGATCACTGTCGCGACCATGTAGATGGGGATACTCATTACTTGAGCTCGGACAGATGTCCAGCCGAGCTGTCGGAGGATGGTAGGGGTGAAGAATGATGTTGCATAGCCCGTATTGACAATTCCAAAGTACATAATAGCACTAGAGGTGACTCATTGTTAGTGGAGAACTTTCACGGAATAAGGATACTCGAGCTTACCCAAGATAGATCTTGACATCTGAGAATGTGCGCTTGATTGCCGGCTTGTCAAAGCGATTCATTTGGGCTTCGCCGCGGTCTTCCGATAGACGCCGAAGCAGCAAAGCACGCTCCTCTTCATTTAGGAAAGTAGACGTTTCGGGCCAATCGACGACGAGGAATTTGGCAGCAATCCCAGTGCATACTGTAAGTAGACCTTCGATGATAAAGATCCAGCGCCAGCCGCTGTATCCTCCGATGCCATCCATCTTGGCTATTGCATAGGCAAGAAGCTACGAAATGATTAGTATAGAAGCGACTCATCACGCAAGACGATACATACTCCACTGACTGCACCAGCTAGAATGCTAGCGCTGAAGAAAATATTGAATCGCCATTGCAACTCGTGGCGCTTATAGTACATAGCAATCAAATAGATGCAGCCTGCATTGTAACATTAGCACTGGTGCCACCAAGGGACCAAAGGCTGTCCAACCTGGCATCAACCCAGCCTCAAACAAACCCAGCAAGAATCGGCATGCAACGAGGCCACCAAAGCCCTTTACGACACCTTGGCACGTTGTGACAACACCTAATATCATCGTGGTCAGTCTCAGTCCCATTCACCTATATCGATTCCCAACATACCCCAACAAAACATGATTCCGCTCAACCACCATGATGGCGATACCCTTTTCAAAAAAAGATTACTAGGAACCTCGAAAAGGATATAGGGGATAAAGAAGATAAACAGGGCGATGTTGTAATCATGTCCCTTCATTCCCAAATCCTTTTCGAGACCCTGAATTCGCGCGTTACCGATATTGATACGGTCAAGGAAGGCAAGTAGGAATAAAAACATGAGAATAGGAACGACATGGAGGTCGAGTTTCAGTAGGAGTCGTTTTTCTGCCGCTGCATCTATATCTGGCACGGAATCTGCGGACTTGACATCCTCGACCGTCTCCTGGGATATTTTTTCGAGATCCATTTTGGATATTTCAGATCGGCCTCGAATTGATACAAGATACCATCAAGATAATTCAAAGATATGGTGGAGCAAAAGCTCCTTTTAAACAAATTTAGTGGTGAGACGCGATATAGTCCGCGACTGGGGAAATCTGGGGCCCCGCACTATGAACCCACCGTGTTGTGTTGATTCATTCCGCTTTCCTTGATCGCAGACGGTATTTGATTCCGCCCCTAGGAATGCCAAGAATGCCCGGCTTGGTGCTAGCTTGGTACCTAGCTTGGTGGCCATCCTCGTATTTAGGCTCATACCGAGTGTTTGGTCGCAAGTTTGTCGAGGGCTCGGCGCTTGCGAACCCATTCACTGGGTTAGAGGAATCTAGATCGAGGTCTGGAATATTAGTTCCGTCCGAGAGCAGCTATTCTTTTGCAATTTAAGATTTGACGTGGCGTTGAAATGTCAAGCCCGTGGCCAGTGAAGTCGATCCTATTTATGAGGACGGAACGGTACCCCGGAATGATACCGCGTCTTGCCGTGCGAGAAGTTCTCGAATACGGTCAGCTCGACAGTGGAATAACCGATATAAATATAGCCGAATATTGAATTCAAATGCTAAGTTAAAGGTCACTAGAACTTAACCGTATCATACATTCTTGCGAATAGTCGGCTCCAATGGGAACGCCTGCTTATCCTCGACAACATCTTTGTAGACTATATCCCAGCGTTCCTGGAGTTCCCGAGGTGTTTCCCAAGCATTTTCAGGATCTCGAAGCCAGAGTCTCAGCAAATGACGCCTAATAGAACCAAATCGTTAGCATCTTCATAAGACAAAAGGGCATATGAAAGGAAATGGACCTACTCTTTACCGGGCTCATCTCTAAACCCATTCCGCGCATGGAAAATGCTAAGGTTATTCACGTACTGCACATCGCCTTTCTGGAAATCTAGAGCGGCACTGTGCTCTTCCGCCAAGAAGTGCAAAGCGTCGAGCGCCTCGGCTTGTGCTTCCGTGATAGGGGGAATATCCTTCGATCGGGGCTGAGCCAGAAACCCGGTGAAGTATCGTCTTGCGTACTGGATTAAGACCCTTTCAGGGGTAGTCGCAGTGGCTGCTTGGTGGTATAGAAGTGGGCGGAGGCTGTAAGGCCTGGCCGGGTTATTGAAGCTGAACAGTGTTAATTTGCAAGTACGCTTCCTTGGCAGTTGGACTCTTACCCGTCGACTGGCCAGTCCTGGGATAGAGTGTGAATAAGATCGGGTCTTTCCTTGGCCAGGATGTTATACACATGCCAGCTGCTAGAAAGATAGCTTTCTCCTCCCTCTGCGGCTCGGTTCAGACAGAGGAGTGAGATGATATCGCCAGCGTCAGTGTGGAAAACCTGCTTATCAGGCGTGTTTGAAGGGGCTCCGATAAGGTTCTTCTCGGTATTGCTAGTGAGATCTTTGATATGAGATATCACGGGTGAACTGCCGTCTGCCAGCCGAGCTTCTTGCTGACGTCCTCGAATATTGCCGATGTGGGAAGATACGCCGGCATAGATGATGATGTTGTCTTCTCTGGAGTAATTATCGACACGTAAGCCTCGGAGGACGACGAATCCTCGACCCGTGTGGATCTCCTTCGAAAGGTCTCGAAGAGTACGCCGAAAGGTAGGTAGAGGGAAAGTCGATTGGTTGACATGTCCTAAGGAAAGATTGAGAGCTGGTAAGTTAGCAAGGTATCTAGATAGTGTGGTCATAATTACCCACCTTTGAAACTCTTCAAAGCAGCGTCGATTTCATCCAGTTGATCATCGCTCAACTGATAAACCCAGTCGTCCCGTTTCTCGACGTCTTTTCCTTCCCAGACCAGCGGCGATACCAACTTCTGCGGGAAGTTTGCTGGCAAGGTAGACTGCAGGTTCTCAGTCTCTTTTCGACGACGAGTACGCTCCTTGTACTTTTCATATTCAGGGTGGTACTGGATATCGGGCTGGGTGGGCACAGTGATGGTCTGAACAGCGGACATATTGGTGGTGCAGAAGGAAAGTGAAGAAATAGCATATGTTGAATACCAAATGCTATTTAAGTGCAGATTTATCCCTTTGAAAAAAACGTGTTCAAAGCCAGTGATTGCGCCATGGCGTACTGTTACTCAGAATGTGTTTGGCTGTCACGACATAAACCCCGCAAAGTGCGAGATCAAGCCTTGAACGACACTGGAAAGTCTTTACAGTAGTAATCATGGCCTAGTCAGCTTCAATCGCATTATCAATCTTATATCGGTGAAATTGCCAATGCTCTGGGTCATTGCATGTATAACATCAATATACGGAGTAGGTAGTAGTTGTCGAGATGACCCGACGTCCTATGCCTGATTCTACAGGCTTGTATGCTAGCTGAGCGTTTTTGTTTGCTAAATAGGTATAGATACCTTGCCTATACTAGTTTGGATGCTTTCTTTCTTTCTTCTTCCTCCCGCCTAGTAGCCCTCAACAGGCTATGAAGTCCTCTTTTTACCGCTCATTTCATGAAGATTCATCAATTTCCAACAAAATTTATCAAGTTCCATCCAGAATAGCACTCGGCAGTGCTATTCTGGATGGAACTGAGCTCTTAGATTTCCGAGAGAAGCGACGGCGAATCCTGCGAGAGGAACGCTTCAGTGGTTTCTAACCCGGAGGCGGAACATTTTCACAGCTCGTGTAGAAGGCCAAGTCGTGGAAGGCTGATGCTGTCAGTCAGTGGCTTGTCCACCTTGCAAGTTCCGTACAGGATGGGGCTTTCCCGGGGACTGGCGTACCCTGTGATTCCCCCGCCCAATTCGCTAATTCTCTCTGCATAATAGACTACGTCAAGCCCACCTTGCAGGACAACCAAGTCTTCAAGTTGGCTGCCAACCCCAAGCCTGTCGCCCACTTCCTGGAGGCCAAGGAGGCTGGCATTGTGACCCGCCCCGTCGTCCTGGGTCCCATCTCCTTCCTGCCTCTTGGTAAGGCTGACCGTGGCCAGACACTTGAGCCAATCAGCAAGCTGGAGGACCTTCTGCCTCTCTACGTCGACCTCCTGGCCTAGCTGAAGGCTGCTGGCGCTGAGGATGTCTAGATCGACGAGCCCGTCCTCGTCTTCGACCTCGCTCTCAAGGTCAAGGCTGCTTTCAAGCCTGCTTACGAGAAGCTGGGCAGCCTTGGTGCTCAGGGCCCCTATCTGACCCTAGCAACCTACTTCCTTGACATTGTTCATAAGATTGATGTTCTCCCTGCCTACATAGCCTTCACGGCATCCACGTCGACCTAGTCCGCCACCCTGAGCAGCTTGACACCGTTGTCTCTGCCCTCGGTCCCAACCAGACTCTAAGCTGCGGTGTGGTCGGGACGCAACATTTGGAAGACCAACTTTATGGCCACCATCGAGAAGGTCGAACTTGCCATCCAGAAGCTGGGTAAGGACCGTGTCCTCTAGCTCCCTCCTTCACGCCCCCCACACTCTGGCCTCCGAGAAGAACCTCAACCCCGAGGTCCGTGACTGGTTTAGCTTCGCTGTCGAGAAGCTCGATGAGGTTGTTACGATCGCTAAGGCTGTTACTAACGGTCCCGCTGCTATTGCTATCCGCGAGCAGCTCGAGGCCAACGCCAAGTCCGTTCAGGCGCGTGCCTCGTCTAAGCGCACTAACGATCCCGCTGTTAAGGCCCGCCAGGAGGCTATCACTCCCGAGATGCACACCCGCAAGTCTCCCTTCCCCTCTCGCATTACGGAGCAGACCAAGCATATCCAACTACCTAAGTTCCCTACCACCACTATTGGTTTTTTCCCCCAGACCTAACATCCGTTTCACCCGTAACAAGTCCACTAAGGGCGAGATCACCGCCGAGGAGTATACGAAGTTTATCGAATCAGAGATCGCCGAGGTTATCAAGATTGAGGAGGAGCTTGATCTTGATATCTTCGTCCACGGTGAGCCCAAGCGTAACGACATTGTCCAGTACTTCGGTGAGCGTTTTACTGTACGTCTTTACTGAGAAGGCTTGGGTCCAGTCTTACGGCTCCCGCTGCGTGCGTCCCCCGATCATCGTCGGTGACATCTCTCGTCCCGCTCCTATGACCGTTAAGGAGCCTAAGTACGCCGTGTCTATCTCCAAGAAGCCTATGAAGGGCATGTTGACTGGTCCTATCACCTGCCTACGGTGGTCTTTCCCCCGTGACGATGTCCACCAGTCTGTCCAGGCTCAGCAGCTTGCTCTCGCTCTACGCGACGAGGTTATTGACCTTGAGGCCGCTGGTGTCAAGGTCATCCAGGTCGACGAGCCTGCTCCCCGTGAGGGTCTCCCTCTCCGTGTCGGTACCGAGCGCGAGAAGTATATTAAGTGGGCTGTCAAGTCTTTCCGTCTGTCCACTGCTGGTGTGGCCGATAGCACTCAGATCCACTCCCACTTCTGTTACTCTGAGTTCCAGGACTCCTTCCATGCTATTGCTGCCCTAGACACCGACGTGCTGTCCATCGAGAACACCAAGTCCGATGCCAAGCTTCTCAAGGTCTTTCTTGACCCGAAGTTCCCTGCTCACATCGGTCCGGGTATTTGGGATATCCACAGTCCGCGTGTCCCCAGCAAGGAGGAGATGATCGGTCGCATTGAGGAGATGCTGCAGTTTCTCAGCCCCGACCAACCTTGTCACCGCTGCCAAGCACTTCCGCCAGAAGTACGTTTAAATTTTCTCTCCTGTCTCGATTTTTCCTTTAATGTGTTAATTGGCGGAGGCGGCATTCTCAACCTGCCGCCTCCGAGCACGGGGAATTGTTCTATTTTCTGATGAGTTACGACTATGATACCAAAGGTTCAACATACGGGTTTCAACGGGTTTAATGGATTAGGGCGCAGCAAAAGCGGGTTTACGGGAGTTTCAACATGACTGACCATTTCAACATGCGTGCCGCCAATTTAGGTGCCGCTATTTCAACAATTTTGTGCTCTTTCGTCCTTGCCTCTGCATTTGCAAGGCACTAGACCTGGAGACAGAACTAGGGTGTAGAATCAGCTGTGAAATACATGCTTCTATTCTGACATGGCGACTTTGACTATTTGTAGGTTTGCTGTTGAAACGTTCCAGCCTATCCTAGACTGTAGAGCCCACAAGGAGTCGCTTCGAGCTGTTCTCCTGGACCAGCTTGAAGAAATCTCCCGCCTCACGAGATTTCAGCGTGTCTGCTATGCGCCATCAGAATTTTCAGTGAAGTATATTTTGTAGACTTGTTTTCCATTGCACGAAGATGGTGTAGAGACATTTGGTTGATAGGACGGCTCTGCATCGTTTCTCGAACCTTTGAACCTATAGCTAATTAATTATTCATTCGTTTCTATTATCAGCAAGGGGAATGATCCAACAGTTAGAGATATAATGTCACTCCCCTCAGCCAGGTCCAGGTGACCTGTCGTCATGGAAATCTAGGCTAACCCCGCATTTTTAATATAAATTCTTGCAGATTGCAATCTATCTACGGAGTACTCCATACAAAGTAGTTTAGTGTATGTATGGAACATTTCGTGGCTGAAAGGTCCCGATAAGAGCCTCGGTCCCCAACTGCCGCACTCTCCACTGCCGATTGG